TTTTTTTTTTAAATTTCTGATATCTTTTCTTGAATGAAGTGGTGTTGATAGTGGTTGGGGTTTTTTCCCTACTGGCCAAATAAGTTGGAAACCTTAGGTTATTCCTTCCCCTCCTCAATTTAAAAAAAAAAAAAAAAAGTTGCTAATTTGCTAATCCCAGTCTTCAAGAAATTAAAAATGAAGCAAGGGTATAAGACTTAGTATACATGCACATAGGAAGCTGTGTCTCAAGAATGATTGTAGTGCCATCCAAGAGGTAGGAAGGATACTGCGGACCCCCCAAGGGAGAAGTAACGGCAGCCACGCGAAGAGCCAGTGGAAGGTTTTTTGATGACATGGGTTTTGAAGGATGGGTGTGGGTCAGAAAGTTGTGCACAGAGCTGGGGGGTGGGGAGGCTGGACCATGCCGCAGGGCAAGAAGGCCCAGAGGCACAAGAGTGGAAGGCGTGCTCACAGGGCAGGATGTTTTCTAGGAGGGGCATAGGAGGCCTTTTGGGGTGTTGGAAACGATGGGCTACGTGTTGGTAGTTACGTGGGTATAAATCTGTTTCAATCTCTGGGAGCCATACAGTTAGAATTGGTGTGCTTTACTCTACAAAAGCTATACTTCAATAAAGGAGGAAAAGTATCCTGAGCCTGGTGGGGACAGGACGTCATGAATGGAGACTCTCCAACGCTCGCTCCCTCCTCAAGGCTGGTGCCTTGGACCCATTTATAGTTAATGCATGTTGGCCAAAGTGTCACCCGATTGGATGCCGGATGCCAGAAGCCAGAAGGTCAGAGGGCCCCCCACTTGGCCCCGGGAGGCTTTACCGAGTCTGGATGACTGGACACAAGAAGACACCGTTAATTAAGGAATAATGAAGCCCGGGGAGGGCTCGAGGAGACTGAGGGCTGCCGGCGCTGAGCCTGGCTGGCACGACGCAGTCTGAGTTTCTGGCGAGATGCTGTGTTTTTCACAGTGTACCCCTGATGGTGATGGCAAGGCACACAGAAGCTGTTTTTCCTTCAAGTTCTTTATCTTGTAAAGTAATTACGAATATTAGTTTCATGTTTTCACACATTTATTACTCATATGCTCAGGCTCCAGATGAAATGCCTCGGTGGAGCTCCAGGCCCAGCCTCTCGGCGAGCGGAGCTGCTGTCTGTTGGAAGAGCCAGTGTGCTCACGGCTGGGTGGGCCTGGATAGGGTGGCCTGTGAGCCCCCTGCCAGCTTGGGAGGGCACAGCAGGGAGCGTGTGCTGGCTCTGCCCGTGCCCCATCTCTCTCTCCTCCTGTGATTTCAGGGGTTGCTGGGAGGATTTCACCCACTGCCTCGTTAAAACCCTGCGGTTCCAGGAAAATTCATTCTAGCCTGCAGCTGACTTGGCCCTGAGCTCCTCTTTCTCCAGAGAAAATGATGTGGAATTCAAGTTGTCTGGGGCCACCTAAGCACAGACACCCTGCAGTCCCAGGGGGAGTGTGATTCAGTTTTGTTTTGCTTTAGAGAAGCCGGTTCAGAGTACTAAAAGAGCAGCTGGGAAGTTAGCGTGAGTCGGGTGAAGGCTGCAGTTGTGACTGCTAATGGTCGCCGAAGGCTGTCGGCCATTACAGGCGGGGTGGGTCCCAGCTGGAGCGCACTGCCCGCCGTCCTTCCTGTTCACCGTGATGTGTCCCAGTCCCAGGAAGGGAATCCAGGTGGGCTCCCCTGGACTCCTGTTTCTCAGGGACAGGTGGTAGAAAAGGCAGTTGCTGTGGGGCATGCAGCACTGCACAGTTCCAGGGCTGTGTGCTGGTTCTCCAAGGAGACAGCTGCAGAAGAGCCCTTAGCTTTACTAGCGCCTCCTCCCAAGATGTGCAGCAGGCTTCACGTGGAGGGGAAGGGGAGTGAGACATACTTTCCAACCCAGTTTTGTGTGGGATTCGGGAAGTCATCCCTGGGTTTCTGTTCCTGTGTGTATCTATCATGAGACATACATGCGTGTGGACTCCTGGGTTCCTTACCTCTTTGAATCAGGACTTTTTAGAGATTATTAGATGTTTTTCCAGAAATACTCAGAATCCAGTAGTGATGGCTGGCTGGCTCTATTTCTGAAGTCTTTCTTCCCTGGCTTGTGAAAATAATTATTTAAAGTACGGTGATTGCATAGTCTGTGGGACGTCCATGCAACAGCATCCTACTCAACAATAAAAGGGAATGAACTATTGATAAATGCGATGACGTGGCTGCACCTCAGAGGCATTACGCTGAGTGAAAGAAGCCAGTTTCAGAAAGCGATGCCCTGGGTGCTTCTGTTTATATGACATTCTCAAAGGACAAGGCTGTAGGGATGGAGAACAGATCAGTGTTTTCCAGCATAGGGCTGAGGGGAGAATCCGACCATAAGGGAATAGCACAAAGGAGTTTTTTGGGTGATGCCACTGTTGTGTGTCCTGCTTTGGACACACAAATCTATACATGTGTGAACATTTGTAGAACTGCGCACCAAAAAGTCAGTTTTACTGTATGATCATTAAAAAATGAAAGTAAAAACCGTAATGATGATGACGATAACCAGCATTTATTAAGGGCTTATTGTGGACCAGGAACTATGCTTACGGGTTTCTCACGTATCATCTCATTTAATTCTTACAGTCTCCCTAAGAGGTAGGTGCCATGATTATCTCATTTTTCAGATGAGACTAAAGCCCAGAATAGTTACGGAACTCGCCCCTCATCATACAAGCAGTAAGTAGTTCTGCTGTGTGTGATCCTGGCTGGGGCTGCAGTCATCAGGGCCTTGATTGGGCTGGGACGGCCAAGATGGCCACTTGTATGGCTGTAGCACTGGTGCTAGCTCCCAGCTGGCTGCTGAGCGGGGACTGTGCCCTTGATTCTCCTCCATGTGGCTTCTCTGTGTGGTCTGGGCTTCTTAGAGCGTGGTGGCTAGGTTCTGAGAAGCAGTGTTTTGGGGAGTAGGATGTGGGAGCTACCAGTCGTTTTAAGGCCTGGGCTTGGAATCCATGGTACAACACTTCTGCCATGTTCTACCGGTCAAAGCCAGTCGTGAGACCGGCTCGACTCCAGAGGGAGGGGAGAGGAGTGGCACCTCTTGCTGTGGGTAGAGCTTGTGCACTAAGGAGAGAGGGAGGCTGGCTCCCCCACACCCTTGTTATCATTGATTGAGCACCTGCCATGGGTCGGTCAAGCCCCTGAGTTAGGCAAGAAAGGGAGACACTATTGTCTGCAATGGAGGAGCTCAGTTCTCTCTGGAAGTTCAATCCCATTTTTGCAAAAGTGTCAACTCCTGTCCTTCCCCTTCTGATGGTGTGTGAAAATTCACCCTTGTACTGAGGGTAAGGTCACTGGGGACCAGAGTTCTTCAGAAGTTCTAAACTTCATTATCCAGACCTCAGAGGGATTCCATTTGTAGCAGTCCAAAACTAAGGACCTACAATGCTCACTAGGAACCCTCACATGGAGAATTGACCTTACTCTGAAACCTTGTAATCTGTCACACCATCACTTAAGCCCTGAAATGCCTGGAAACTGAATTGGGATAGTTCCTGGCCTGGCATAGTGGACTCCAAGTCTTCCCATACCTTCTGTCCCTGCCCTGGCTTCTCTGATGGTAACAATGTCTGAAGATAGATACTGCCTCCAAAACTTCTCCTACCTGGGTGCTGTCAGAGTGGCTCAGGCTTCATGGTGAACCCTCTGCTTATAGGAGCAAGGAGATGGTACCACTACCCTGGAGTTCTCCAGGAATGGGTGACATCGTTGAGCCATGGGACCGAGCTTCTCTTTAAGAGTAACTCCTTCTTTTACATGTAGCTGTCCAGTTTTCCCAGCACCACTTTTTGAAGAGTCTGTCTTCTCCATTGTATGTTCTTGCCTCCTTTGTTGTAAATTAGGTGCCCATATGTGTGTGGGTTTATCTCTGGGCATTCTATCCTGTACCATTGATCAATATTTCTGTTTCTGTGCCAGTACCATACTGTCTTGATTACTGTAGCTTTGTGGTATAGTTTGAAGTCAGGGAACCTGATTCCTCTAACTCCGTTTTTATTTTTCAAGATTGCTTTGGCTATTCGGCATCTTTTCTGTTTCCATATGAATTGTAAAATTTTTTGTTCTAATTCTGTGAAGAATGCCATTGGTAGTTTGATAGGGATTGCATGGAACCAACCTAAATGTCCATCGACAGATGAATGGATAAAGAAGATGTGGCACATGTATACAATGGAATGTTACTCAGCCATAAAAAGAAATGAAATTGAGTTATTTTTAGTGAGGTGGATGGACCTAGAGTCTGTCATACAGAGTGAAATAAGTCAGAAAGAGAAAAACAAATACCGTATGCTAATGCATATGTAGGAAATCTAAAAAAAAAAAAATTGGTACCGAGGAACCTAGTTGCAGGGCAGGAATAAAGAGGTAGACGAAGAGAATGGACTTGATCACATGGGGTGGGAGGGCGAAGCTGGGGCGAAGTGAGAGTAGCATGGACATATACACACTACCGAATGTAAAATAGTTGGCTGGTGGGAAGCAGCCGCATTGCACGGGGAGATCAGCTCGGTGCTTCGCGATGACCTAGGGAGGACGGGAGGGAGGCTCAAGAGGAAGGGGATATGGGAACATGTGGCATAGGGCTGATTCTCTTTCTTGTGCAACAGTAACTAACACAGTATTGTGAAGCAATTATACTCCAGTAAAGATCTATTAAAAAAAAAAAAAAAGAGTAACTCCTGCTTTCTCTCTGCCCTCTCTCATGCCACCCACTTCCTGCCAGCCCCCAGAAGAAGTCTTTCCGCTTGATGTTTTGTAGCAAGTGGGAAACTATCAAATAAGCATTTGCTTCTGAATTAATTTTTGGCAACGCAGGGCTCAGTGAGCCTCATGCCACTTGCATATCCGTCCTTCGCGTCCTTGCCAACTTCTGTGTTTCTTCCTCCTGACATGTCCCCACCAGCACCCGGGGGAGGTTCTTCCACTTCCTCTTCGCTTCAGGAGGACAGAGACTGCTCTCACCTGGGGGAAGGGGAGGAGTAGAATGTATCTTTGAACATACCCAGTGTTAGGTTTCTTTTTTAAGCACATACAGATGTTTGGGGCTGTACGTGCTGTCACGACCATAGAGAACCTCACAGCAAACGCAGGGAAAAGATCGAAAAAGAACATTTTTTGTGGATTAATTGCTTCCGGTTGCAGAAGCCCAGTGAGTTGTATGTATCAAATGGCTGCCCACGGCTCTTCCCATGCCAAGTCTAGCCTACAGACACACCCAGAAAGGATTTTCTTTTCCGCACGTACACAGCTCGAGTTGGAAAAAGTGAGAAGTGCTCTGTCAGGAAGCTGGCTGCGGATTCAGCTGAGAGAGAGAGAGGTCCCTCGTCCAGGGGCCTTTCCCTTGCCACACACTTATTTTTTGTGGTTGGCTTAAGACAGCAGCCCAAGAGCCAGTATTCGATAGGACATCTCCCACCCCTTCCAGAAGAAGTCGCCGCAAGAAGGCACTGAGCGGGGAGCACGCTGGACTGGAGGCCACCCCGACCCCAGTGAGCGGAGATGGGGGGCAGGAAGGGCGCTTTGCTTTGCCTTGGCGGGAGGTGGGAGGCCAGCTGGTGAGGCAGATCAGCCTTGGTTCGACAGGACAGCTACCCCGAGGCGGAGGACGAGGAGACTGGTGTGCAAGCGAGTTACGTAAAAGGGTGTTGTGTTTGGCAGCCAAGTCAGAAATGAGTCACTCGGGAGCGGTGTTTTCTGACCTCGGGTTTTATCCATGTGGGAGAAGAGCACGGCCAGCAGTGGAGTCAGGAGACTGCTTTCTCCCCAGCCTGGGGGGTGTGGGAGCTGTTGCCATGACAATAAGAGGAAGGGTGGTGGCCCCGCCCCCTGTGCCCTTTGGCTGAAGCCACCAGGGGTCTGGACGACGAAGCCGCCCGGCTTGGTTCAGGGAGGAGGGCTGCAGGCGCTGCCAGTTGGCCCTCCTTGGAGAACGGGTAGCGTGGGGTCAGGGACTTCGGGGGACACTGCCCAGAAGGGCAGGCGTGGCAGGGGAGGGAGCTTGGCCTCTAGAGTGGAAGCACCTGGGCTACAATTCCGGCCCTGCCCCTGCCATCGGGGTGACCTTGGACTTTCTCAGGATGCTCTGAAAGTCAGTTTTCTCATCTGTAAACCACGAGTTAGGAAGCCTGAGTCCCTTCCTTATGCAGTTATTGAGAGGATGAAACAGGGCCACATGGAGGAGGGGGGGTACAGGGCGTGGCTGCAGGAATGAGCTGCTGCCCTGGGGCTGGTTTGATGGAGGGACGAAGGCCTCCAGCCCTGCCTCTCACCTCCCACCCCAGGGCTCAGGGAAGGTCCTTGACCCCCCAGGCCAGCTCCTGCCTGGGGAGCAGGACGGTGTCCATCCCCACCTCACAGGGCTCCTGGGATGGTCGGACAGGGTGATTCACCGAAAGTGCCTCACTCGGTGCCCAGGTCACAGAAGGATCTCGAAACGAGGTGGTGATTTTTTGTGTTAACACAGTCTTTATTATTTAAAAATGAGCTTTGTTTTCTTCAATTTGTTCTCCGTCAAAAATCCAACTTCTGATAATTTGCTTCTGTCTAGTGGTTGATGATCCAGTGGGCCTGGGGGGTGTGCTGTCGTATGTTGTTTTCACACACTGTTCACCTAAGTCCCTCTCACTCTTTCTGTATTTGAGCTAACATCGGAGGTCCAGGAGGGTGGGAGGCTTCATTGCTTCGGGTACTGGTTTTTTACGCTGCCGGACATTCTGGGCAAAGCAGAAAGCAACAGGCAGTCCAGTTACCTGCTCCCTGACCCAGGACTTTTTCTTTCCTTCTGTGTATTATTATTTTTATTCTTACTTTTTGGTCTAAGTCATCCTTGGACATAGGCCCTTCCTCTCCATCCCCAGGAAACTGGTGTGTCACTGAACAAGAGTCTTTTAGGATTATGGGTCTAGACCAAGGTTTTGCAGTGAAGACTCAAAATCCAAATGTAGTTCCCATTGTTGGGAATATAAGACTTGAATGAACGCCCCCAGCTGTCCAAGTGTTGTGGGCCCTGGATGATGCACGGACCTACTGCAGTTGAGGACAGAACATGACTGCAAAGATGGTCAGCGTGTTCTTTGTCACTTGCGTTTGAGAAGCACAGTCCTGTTGCGGTGGTCCGAGGGGAAGATGTGCCCACCAGCTCGTGCCTGTAGAGGAACTGGAGACCCAATGTTACTTTTCTTCTTTCCTGCGTAGCAAAGCCAACACCGTAGGCAGAAGTGGACGGTTCCATACATGTGCTCTTCTGGCCTTCCCTAACAGGAATGCGGTCGTTAGGGAGTTGGGGGGAGATCTTTGGATACAAAGTGTTCATCTTCTTGCTTCCTAGAAAACCCATAAGCAGGAATTAGTTTCTAAGAAGAGATATCTTCAGAGGAAACCTCGGGTTTTCCATGATCTCCAAAATTTGACTGAGGAACAAAAAAAAACGTCAGAGAAGACTGGAAAATTGTTGTCACTGTGCCTTCATTGTATCCTATTAAATCCACAAGTCTAAATGGTCCTTCTTTCTTTCTCTTCCTTCAGCTCTAGCAAGAGGTCCGTGTTCTTCCTAACTTTCCTTAGTGACTTCTGAGGATGGAGTGCCTCTTATGAACTTCTAAGCTGACCCCAGATTCTCCTCTGTTGGCTTATGATACCTTGGTCCAGGGATTGGCAAACTGTGGCCAGTGGGTCGAATCCAGCCCGACGCCTGCTTTTGTAAATAAAGTTTTACTGGAACACAGCCAGCCTTACAATAACCTTTAGTGTTGCCTTTGGCTGTTCTCACGCTGCTGGGGCAGAGCTGAGGGGTTGTACCGCAGACCGAACGGCCGGCAAATCCTAGAATATTTACCATTTGGACCTTTATGGAAAACCTCTGCCAGCCCCTGTGTTTGTTGAATCTTTGCTGTCGAGATAGGCAGCTGCTTAAGGAAAAGAACCGAGTCTTAATCCCTGTGTTCTGTCGTCTTCACCCCCGGTAGAGAGCAGTGATAGGTTTGTGGTAGATATTCACCAGATGACTAATACCCTAAGTCCCCTGAGAGTCTGGCCACTTACTCCGCTTATAAATGGAAATTCAGGGAGCGAGAGGCCTCTACTTTTTCTTTCCTTTCTCGATTGGAGGGCTGATCTCCCCTTTCCCTTTACTGCCTCTGCGGGAATGTATTCCATCGCCCTGCTTAGCACTTTTTAACGCAGATTTGGAAGGCAGCCTCGGGCAGCTCCTTCCCGAGGGGATCTGTATACACGGCTCAGGAGTCCAGAGTTTTCATCTGGAAGCCCTGTCTGACCGTCCACCCCAGGGTGCCACACTTTACGTCAGTCACTTCCTGATGGCCTGACGCTGTGCTATTTCTGTGCTTCCTCTGGAGGTTTTCCTCGTTGTGAACAAGGGACTCCTTGGCACACATACAGTTCACCTTCAAATATGTGAGATGCTGGCGCCTGGTCTCCAGCCTATTTGTCGTCTTTTTCTCCAAGCTCCCTGGGTGACCTCACCCATCCCCATGGTTCCCAGCTACCATTTATGCCAACAGCTCCTGGCCCTACCTCTGTGATCATCTCCAGATTTCTGCGCAGATCCCTGTTGGGCATCTCCACCTGCGTTAACTCTCAGTTCACGCCACCCCAGGCGTGCCCATCACCTCCAGTCCTCCACCGCATTGGCCTTCTTGTGTTCTGTATCTAGGTCAGTGGACTTCCCACCGCCACCTGTGCAGTCACCCGAGCTGGAAACCTTGATGTCATCAACTCCTCCCTCTTGATTTTCATCAGGAACTCATTCTGCGTCTCCTCTACCTCCCAGTATTCTAATAGTCAGGACTTAGTTCAGACTTGTAATGAGCCAGACAGTTGACACCTGGAGGCTACATGACATGCCCAAAGTGACCCGGCTGGGGCTGGGGGAGCTGGGGTTGGAAACGAGGCACTCTGGCTTCAGAATTCCTGCCCCTGACAAGCATCCTATACCATCTGCCAGAACGGGCCATCTGAGTTCTGAGCCTGAGACGGGCTCTTCAAGGCCTCCCTGCCTCCGGACATTTCTCTCTTCCATACTGCTGTCAGTGATGCCCACCCCGCCCCGCCAGATGAAGGCCGGACCACCTCATTCCTTGTCCTAACAGCCTTCCGCGGAAGATCAAATCCACTGCCCTGTTGCTGCGATCCACTGGTGCCCACGTGCCTGGCCCTGCCTGGGTTCCCACGCTCACCCCCGCGTTCATTGTCCTGTGGCTGCAACCTGCTCGTTTGCCCGGCCCTGGCCGTGTACTCAGATGCCTCTGCTCCGTGTGGGACGTGCCGCTTTCCCTTTGCCTGGCACGCTCCCTGAGCTCTGTTTAAATTGCCTCCTGCTCTGGAAACTTGTTGATCCCCTGAGGCAGAAGTAGTGGTCTCTTTGTCTGGGCAGTTCATTTACTCAGCAGTCACCACTCCTGAAATGGAGGCTCATTGTAAGACCCGAGGAGGCAGAGATCAAGTCTCACCCCCAGGCTCCCCAGAGAAGTCTCTGCATGTGTTGGATGAAGGGAAGTCAATCTGTACGTAGCAAATACACGTAGAGAATCCTGCTCCGTAGGGCTCCTCTGGGGATTAAATGAGATAATATATGGAAAGCACACAGCAGCTCAGAATGGTGCCTAATACGCAGTCATTGCTCACAGTTTCTTTTTGGTTTTATGTCTTCCTCTCCTCCCCCCACCCAAGAGTGTAATTTCTCCCAGGGTCAAGCCTCAGTCTTACTTCCCAGCACCTGGACCATGGTGGGTGCTCAATAAATGTTCCCTGAATGAATCAAAGTCTGGACCGTATGTCGCCACCATGTTACGTTCGTCATCTTGTTCTTTTCCCAATATAAACATGAGGATGTGAAATGTGTTGTGAACGGTTATCACAATTTTAAAGAGGCACTTTCTTTAGGTGAGAGAAGGAGTTAAGTTTATCAGAACCCAAGGGAAATATATAAAGTCAATTTGGAGAAATCTCCTTGTGATGCCAGAGATTCTCGATGGAGCTCTTCCTTCTCCTTTTCTTCTTTATAGTAACTGTAGTTGGTGGTAATAATAATGAGTACCAAAGTCTGAACGCTCACGTGCCAGGAGCGAGGCTTGGTTTCTCTGCACGATCTCATTTACTCTGCGTGGTGGTCCTGTGTGGGCAGGTACCGCCTGGACCCCTTTCTGCTCAGCAGGAAATAGAGGATCTGAGAGGTCAAGTTGCTTGCTTAGTGTCACAGAGCTAGCTGGTAGTTGTATCAGGGTTTGTTTCAACCCCACGTTCCCCAGGGAAGTCTCTGCATGTGTTGGGTAAAGGTAACTCGATCTCTACGTAATGAATAAATACAGAGAAGAGCCTGAGCTCTCAGCCCCTCTGCAGAATGTGTGGCTTCTCTCTCTTTGTTCTTCTTTTTGTTAGTGGGCTCATTGTGGAGGGCAGTCTGCCTTCCAGAGAAGTCCTGAGATGGCTTGTGTGTCTTTGCTTTGGTTACATCACCGGCCTGTGCATGATGGAGAAGAGAAGCACGAAAGACTTTACCTTTCAGGCTGGGCATCTCATTTGCCAAATAAAAGTTATATGTGCCACACATGCTGCTTCCCCTCTAGCGGGTTCCAGGGTCTCAGGTCCATGAAAGTTAATGGGAAGGAAGGTCTCTTGCATAACTTCCTCTCCGTGGAGACAGAGGGCAGCTCATTGAATTAGGGCTCCTAAGAAAAGTTAGATTATATTGCCAGAAGTTTTGATTTTCACTTGCATCTAAAGGAGCATATGTACTTCGGTTAATGTGAGGCTTATTAGAGCTCATCTTTTGCCCATTTTGCATGAAGAAGCTCCATGCACTGGATTCTCCCCATATTCGAGTCTTGGGCAGGTTGAAGAATGTTTGTGTTGCAGAAGGAAAAGGAAAGGACTTGTTGCCTTTATAAAGTGCCCGTTGCAGGGCAGGCACAGCGCATGGTGCTGCTGTGTACTTGATCTGGGCGAGGTGGGATAACCCCAATTCTGGATAAGAAAACTGAGTCCCAAAAGATCGAGGGAGGTCTTACGCAAAGTCACCCAGTTCGCAGAGCTGAGATTCGGTACCCGGGTCTATCTCCCTCAAAAACCTCTTGACTTTCTACCGTGCTGGACAGCCTTGAAGTTGCATGGGTCCAATGCCAGGGAGTTAATCAGTGCCCTACATCCACTGTGGTGGCTTTGCATCTTCCTCGTCACTGTTGGGAGCGGGTAGGCAGCGCTAGTTATTTGATCTGAGAAGCAAGTGGTCACTGCTTGGTCATGCAGTGAATTCTCTAAGTCAACTTAGGAACCACACGATGGAAGCACACCCAGTTTTATAATAAGGTATGAGTTTTTCTGTAGTTGCCACTGGTGTCCTTTCTCTGGTCAGAGGTGAACTTGTCCCTAACACAGGAGAGGCTCGTGCTTGGTTACGTTTCTCTTAGTTTTCTGGAATCCATGTTGGGGGGGAGTGGAGGGGCAGGAGAGTGAAAGCTGGGGTGCATTGCAGATGGCTGCGGCAAACCCCTCTACCGTTCGCAGTTAGTGGCTGCATGTGTGAGTCGTATGCCTGTCTTATATTTACAAGAGGAAATATCCCGTTTAATTTTCTTTTCGCACCAAGAGCCCAAGTGTTCAGAGAACATGGTGTTTTAACACTCCCTCGGTTATCAGCTGCGGAGCGGAGGTTGTATATTGTCACATACAGTTTTCTGAGTGTATTTCTACATTGTTACCTGGCAACATTGCCACGTCGGGACAGGAAGATGTATTGGTTCCTACCAGATCTGCGCTGTTTATATTATAGAAGGTCGATGGTGTTTTCGTCACAGGAATTTAGAAGAGGAGAAGGCTTGGGCTAACACGGCTTAGTTGAGAGATGAGCTGATGTGCTGACCTAGGACCAGGGGTTCAGTGGGGGATGGTGGCTCTTGCCCTGCCTGGATGGACGCCTTGTTGTGTTGTTGACCACCTCCCAGTTCTGATGAGAAGGGAAATCCCATGGTAGGGATGATAACCACAGCATCCCTTATTGGGGTCACCCTCTGAGCTGCTTATATCCCTATGGGGTCTTCTGTTTAGCGGATAGGCTGCGTTAAAGGCCCTGTGGTTCAGAATTTGCGTGCCTAGTGGGGCCTCGGGCCATCATAGCACCCATGCCCTGTGTGATTAACCCCATCCCTTGAAGAGATTTGTGTTCAAAACCCTTGCATCATGGGTTTGAAAGTCCTCTCGGTTGAAACCACACGTTCAAAGACTCAGAAAATGCTTACTGAGACCAAGGGCATTGAATTCTGCAGCACCTGTAACATTTCTTGAAAAATGCTTGAGAGAGAAAAGTTCCCATGGTAACAGTTTTTTGAAAGAATCTTGTGGCATCACTAGGTTAGACAAGATAGCAGAGTAATGGGGGTTCAGCAGCACAGCTTGTAAGCACACGCTCCTTTAAAGCTACTTCCCGGTGAAGATGTCAGAACCAGAGTCTGTCCAGGAACCCCGGCAGCGCTGGAGACTCTGACCGGGTTGGGATAGATCTCAGGGCCTACCGTTGGTGTTTCCCTCTGCACTTCTCACCTCTCTTGGCCTCCCGAAGGAGGAGGCCTATTTTTTTTTTTTTTTTTTTTTTTTTTTTGCGGTACACGGGCCTCTCACTGTTGTGGCCTCTCCCGTTGCGGAGCACAGGCTCCGGACACGCAGGCTCAGTGGCCACGGCTCACGGGCCCAGCCGCTCCGCGGCATGCGGGACCCTCCCGGACCGGGGCACGAACCCGCGTCCCCTGCACCGGCAGGTGGACTCCCAACGACTGCACCACCAGGGAAACCCTCCACTGGACTCTTACTGTCTTGCCTGTTGAGAAAGAAAAAGACAACTGAATCTTCCTGGAGGTATTTAGAAACCATCAGTTGGCTTTAAATGTATGTATTTTGAGTGCTCTGACCTCCTTTGAAAACCCAAGTCATGTATTTGGCTTCACACGGTTCTCTGCTCTTGGGTGTTAATACAACTCCTGGCATCATCAGAAATGTCCTCCGAGGACGCCACAGGATTCCTTAAAGTTTTATTCTACAGCAAGTAGATTTTTTTTTTTTTTATACCTGAGCAGGACTTGATCCTGCGGGTTCCGAGCTTGGGTGATCCTCCTGAGTGTCCTTAATGTGGAAATCTATAGCCTCCTCTTTAAACTTTAAGATGATCCCTAACTGGCTTAAAGTCCTCAACCCGCAGGCTGAAGAAAACGCTGCAGAAAAAAAACAAGGTCATGCTGCATTTTTTTTGGTAAGCACAGGAATCAACAAAGAGATGTTATATAACTTCTATTTATATCCTCCTTGCTCACTATCTGCAGGCAGACAAGAGTCGCTGAGAAGGGATTTAATGAGCTCTCCGGGTTTGCTCACCTTCCTGAGCTGGTAGGAACCAGCTTGTTCTCAAGTGCGTCAGCAAAGAATCTGGCTGTGGGTGGGCGGCCAGGGTAGGTGGACAGACTTGTTGCCATGGTGTTCTTTAATTCCCCTGTCTCTCAGCCATCTCGCTCCCCCTTCCCTGACTCCTTCTTCTCCCCACCTTTTCTTTCCTTTCTTTTTTTCCCTCCAACCTATCAGCTTGCTTGTTCCTCACGCCTAGCTCAGTATTCTTGGAGCTGTCTCCAGAAACAGAATATTTTCCTTTTCCCCCTAAGAGTTCCCCATCGTGTAGCTCTAAGACATCAGAAGGGTCTCGGCTGAGGTGTCTTTCCTCCCGCCCTCACCTATTTCTTTTCCTAGGATAATTTTTTTTATTACCAGCCCCTTCATTATAGGGACCTGTCCTGGGAGTCTTCAAGCTCATCCGATAGAAGCTTACCCTTTGCTCTCGGGTTGCCCCTGAGCTAGATGGATTCCATTGCCCGTTGGACAGACCATCGCTCTGCCCCAGAGAAGGAGGGCTGTTGGCATTTCCATAATCCTCCTTGTGCTCTTGCCCTGGGTGGGGTGACAGCTCTTATCTCATCTAGCACATTATAAGGTGGAACCACATGAAAACAAAGGAAGGCGTTTGTCCCACAGTGATCATTCCTGGAGCTTGGGCAACTTCTGTTACCTGAAGGCTGCAGGTCGGGATTACTCAGCCTGCACTAAAAAAAGTGGCTGCGGCATCCAGTTCTCAGCAGGGAAGCAGAAGTGCCCTCCTGAGAAGCCCGGTGGCAGCTCCGGGGGTGTCCACCTGCACCCTGGCTGCTCTGATGGCTTTGCCTTTTCGGTCACATTCCCACCAGAGCAGAGACATTTCAAAGACGTGAGTTAGGGAGGTTATAATGAAATGTTCTTCGAAAAGAATAAGTAGTTCCCGTGAGGATAGGCTTAAAAAAAACAAAGCCGAAACCCACCCCTGCCTTGCCCAAGAGTTGTGCAATTCTTAATAGCAGTAGCCTGTTTGAATAATCGAAGGCGAGCTGACTTCCCCTTAGTAACTTCTGTCAGAGCCATCTGCATAAAATATCCCCAGATTCCAGACCAAGAAGGCAACTTTATTTCCCCCCGTTCTGAGTAACTGGAGGGACTTCCCCTTTGGAACTTTTCCAGTCGAGCTAACTTCATGGTTGAGAATACTTTCTCATTAGAAACTGTCAGCGGCTAGAGTCCTGCCGTGGGGGCCTTAAAGACGTGTCACTCACAAGCCTGGACCCTGCGCACTGAGAACCTAAGTGACATTCACAGCTGGCCTCGGCACCTCTGCCATGACCCTCCTTCTTACTGAGAAATCTATGCCCACGTGCATTTCCTGAGTCCTCTAAGTTCCTCTGTGCAAGTGTCAGAGCCTCTCTTGATGTTTCTCCCAGTTACCTTTGCCTGGGTTTTAAATTTGTCATCAAGATGTCCTAGATGCCAAAGGGGAGAGTCCTGTAAACCATCTGATATCTTCAAGCCACTCGTTTTCCTTTGAAATCAGGACTTAAAAATTTAGATTGCTGTTGGAGGAGGAGGGTGCTTCAGTTGCCCTCACCATACGGTGTTTGAAAAATGTGTTTTCATTAGCCTCCTTGCAACACAAGCCCCGAGCTTGTAGTTATCAAGTCAGGGGTGTGAGCCAGGTTCTGAGATGGAAGGTCTACGAATGATTGTCCTTCCCGCCCCACCTTAATAATGCAAGTGTCAGCCAGGCCAGAGTAGTTAACAGTGAACTAGTTGGAGTAGGATCCCCAGCCAGCCTGAGCCCATCGCAGAGACCTGGGCACAACCCTGATAAGCCTCTGAGAGGTGAGAACGCCACATCAGCCTCCTTCAGCTGGCCTTCGGCGTTCGGCGTTTTCCCCGCTTGGCAGGATTTTGAGCTTTCACGGACAGGGATCTTCTGGTTATTGAGTTAAACTTCAGCTGCCGTAGATGCAAAGCTGGACTCGATTTAAGTTTTGCAGGATTGCATGTCCTTCAGGACTATTGTGCGTTCATTAAGATAGCAGGTATTGGTGGTGCCCCTGCTGGGTGCCGGGCACTGGATGAGGTGGCCGTGACACAGTCCGGACTGAGATCATAGACGGCCTGCCCTCGAGGAGGTTATAGTCTAGCAGGGGAGATGGATCGTAAGCCAGTTAACAATTAAATAAGGGAGAAGCGTGAAGAGGGAAGAGTGTCATGGAGAGGCCACTTAGGGTGGTCAGAGGAGGCTTCTCCAGGGAGATGCATTTAAGCCCAGACTTAGCAGACGAGAAGAGAACGAGTGGCGTGAAGAGCAGAGGGCAGGAGTGTTCAGACAGACGGGCTGGCAGGAGCTGAAGGAAGCCAGCGGGGTTGGGGCATAGCGGGGGGGGGGGGGGGGGCAGGGGCGGGGGGCATGGGACCACTGCTCGACCCAGGTACTGAGCTTCTCGTCAGGTGGGAGGCTGAATTAGGTGATCTCCACGGCCCCTGCCAAGCCCTAGTCAGTGCTTCTAAAGGGCACCAAGTTGGCTCGGGCTGTAACCTACTTGGATGCACGTTCCTGATGTCAGAGCCATAATCTATTAAGCAGCACTTACACAGATGAGTGCTGTGTAATTTTATCCGCCATCTCCATCCGTCTGGCCATCTGTACGTTTTACTCTTGGATCCCAAGGATGTTCTCTGCAGCCATATGGGCCCCCTGATGGGCCAGTACCCAGTGAAATGGACCTGCTGGGTTGGGAGGACTGAAAGTCCTGGAGCGTGTCCTTTGGGGTTCAGACCAGGACTGAGACCTGAGAGGTCATCTGATCAAGCAGAGGACAGCGGGTGATGGTGAGCCCTCTGTCAGAAGGCGCTCGCTTTGCTTGATGTTTTGAGTTTGCCAGCCAACGTCCTTGCCCCCGACAGGCCAGGGTATATTTATTTCTTTTTGGATGTTATCCGTCGAGCAGGCGTGTCACAGTGCGGTTTGTTGAGAGTGGGGAAGGAAAAGTATCTGGTACAGAACACCTACCAGGTGCAGGCCCTGTGCTGGGCTTGCACTGTGTTACCTTCTTGATTCCATCCTCCAGGCCTCTTGGGTAGCACTTCCCCTCCTCCTTCCTCCGTTACAGATGAGGAAACCGAGGCTGCAGGTTAATAAATGCCCTGTGCATACCTGCCCAGGTCCTCAGCCACCCCTGTCCACCTGTTTGTACCTTGCTGAGTGTGCAGGGCGTGGAGCCCTTTCTCTGAACCCCTGCTGCTCTCCGTACAAACACAGAGAATGGGTGTGCAGAGGATCCTTCTTGACGTCGACATAAAGCTCAAGTTGGATGCCCCGGGGAACCTTGGTGACTTTAGGGCAGAAAATGTCCGTCAGTGTTGATTGATTGGCCCTCAGGTGCCCAGGATAGAAATAAGACCAAAGAGCGAAGGTCTTATCCTCCGACTCCTGTGTCAGTTCTTTCTTGATAACGCGGATGGAACCTCCAAGTGAAGCGGGAAGGGACAGCAGCCGCGTCGCCCCTAGGCTCTGGGCAGGGGAGCCACCTGAGCCCTCCTTTGCTGATGCCCGGGGTGCGTTTCTTGCTGATGGAGTTTTTGCAGCACCTCTTGCATCGTCCCTTTCAGGTCTCATGATACACACTGGAGGCTCACTGAGAAGGCCTCTGTCCCCCTGTCACAGATCCCACAGCAAGGCTGTGGGCAAGCTGACACGAGACCTGAGAGTGTCACCTGAACCACCAGAAGGCACTTTTCGTTAGATCATAGAACCAGTCCTGGAGGGCACCCTTGGAGACTAGTGTGCGTCTCCAGCAGCCCCAGACGTTCACTGATACTGATTTTCTTCTTCTCTGGTTGAGTAGATGTCTGTAGACCGAGATTCCAAAACCTCCCTGAGTACTTTAACAAAAATCATCCCTGAGGTCTAACCAAAGGCTCGTCTGCTTCACAGTGCCTTTCTTTTTTATAAACCTCATGTTGGCTTGAAGAGCAACCACAGTACCTCCTTGTACTTAAAGAAATTTCCCAAGGAGGTCCCTGCCGCAACCTCCCGTCACTTCAGGCACATTTGGGGTTGCTTCTGTTTCCCATTTTACTGGTCATCATTGTTTTTCTCTGGAGGCTCTTTGTTTTCCTGCCTTTGGTTGGAAGGGACAGACGGCTGTGCCCGTGCACCCCACAATATATGCTGGCCTTTGGCTTCTGTAAGGAGGTTTGAGAATTGAACCCAGAGAAAATTTGGAGTCCCCTTAACTTCTTGTCCCTGGGTCTTCTAGAATGAAGGCTGAGCTGCCTCCCTGAAACCTGTGTGATTTTAGTCTTAAATGTTGCTAGAGATGTTATTGCTGACAGTTTACCTACACATACAGGGGCTTTGTAAGATAACACCTTCAAAAAAATTTTTTTTAGGAAGTACAGTTTGTTGGTTGAGGTGTCATGGATGAGTATGTGAGAAGCTGTCCGTGTTCTGATCCACACGGGAGAGGGGGGACCAGCCTGCCTACCAGATTGGGGAGACTTTCCTGGCCAGTGCTGTTTCCTGTGGGCCCCGGGGGACAGGTAAGGAGAGGTGTTAAGCTCTCAGGTCTCAGAAGAAAAGTGGTTCTTAGGCAACAGGTGGGACTTTGCTGCTTGCTAAAACCAGAATTAACTCACCTTGAAAAGCATCATGAAGATACAGTGCTTTGGTATTGACCTTGGAGCTCAGGCCCTTCCCTGGAGCCCAGTGCCCAGATTAATTTGGTCTTCGTCGTCCTCCAGCCCCTCTCTCAGGCCTTGGGAATCAGCGATGAGCAGACGGTGGCCTCCGTCCAGCCCTGGCAGGGAAGAGGAGATGAAGCATGCTGTTTATGTCTGAGTTATCAAGAGATGGCTCTACAGTTTGGATGAGGGAGGAACTCTTCAGAAAAATGAAGTTGAAATGTCAGTGCCTTTACAACCCATACTTCGTTCACTTCATCACTTCCTTCTTTTCTGTTTAAAGTTTATATTATTTCTGAACTCATTAAAGCTGGCAACATCCTCAGAGACACTGGTGAGCTGAGACTTGCAGATGTTTACTGGTTGAAACCCATCAAACCTTGCTAAAAAAAATGCCCTTAGAGTGAGTGATCATTTATACCAGGGGAGTGTTTGATTCTTAATGCCCTCTTTACTAATTATTAGATTCTTTTCAAATATCATACTTTTCCTGAAGTCAAGAGTAGTTGAAAAATTGGAAAAACAGTTCATGTTGAAAGGCTTGGGCCTGTCCAGGGGGAGGGTCTGACACCATTCTGCCTTGGGTGTATTACACTTTGAGAAGTGGAAGCAATAACATTTGTCTCTGTGTCTAATGGAATCTGAATGGCGTCTATAACTAGTGGAATTCCAGCTGGATTTTTTTTTTAACTTCCTTCATTGTGACAGTTACTGGGAAAGGCTCTTCAGTGTGTTTTTTGCTGTCAATTTACAGGCTGTCTTGACCTACCAGTACGAGCAGGGCTTGTTTATCTTTGGATGTTTTGGGGACACTAGAGTTTGGTCATCACATAACACCCAGCACATTAGTCGATCCACCTATCTTACCCGCTAACTGATTTCCTTTGAAAGTGGTATTGATAGATTATACACCCTGCATTTGAGTAGCTTCCCGTAGTAATCAAAGTGCGTTTCACATAGTGTTTCATAACTGCACCCTTGATGGACCCCCTCCATGTGATGCACGCAGGGCAGGTGGTAAGAGTCATGTTTTTCAGATAAGGAACCTAGGGCACAAATCCAGTTAAGCAAGTTGCCCAAGTTCACGTAGCTGGTTATCGAGGAGCAATGGCTAAAATTCAGGTTTCCAGACTTGCAGTTCTCCAGGCTCCTGTGCCTAAAGCATGTGTGTTTTATCACCTGGTTCCTGGTACATGATCTTTGGGTTTTGATTGTTGTCATGGGTTTCTAAGAAAGGGACTCAAGACCTACGGTGGTCATTGAGTGACAGTGGTTCGGTGAACAACCTGTAACCCCCAGCCCCGGCAACTAGCAAAAGAGCCTTGTTTGGGAGCCCAGGTTAACAAGAGCATCAGGCCTTGCAGGAAAGTTGGGGCATTCACATGTGTTCCTACCATGGCTGTTCTTTCCTGTGAGAAGAGTCTGTGAGACTCTCTGCTGTGCAGCTGAGGGACCTGGGCTGGCAGGTAGGGAGTGCATTATAAAAAGCCAAAAGGTGTTTGGAGTTTGACACACTCTTGCTTAGATGAGAGGTGTTGGACAAAGCAGGGGCGTTGAGAGCATGGGCTGAGGTGTCACACCAGTGGGGCTTGAGTCTTGGGGCACCACCACCACTTCCTAGCTGTATGACTTGGCAAGTTATTTAACCTCTTTGAGTCTCAGTTTCCTCATCTGTGAAGTGGGGATAGTGGTAGCCCCTACCTCATGGGGTAGTTAGAAGGGTTAAATGAGATACTGCATACAAAGCACTTAGGTAGGTGGCAAGCAAATCAGAAGGCTTCAGTTATTGTTCACTGTAATTTACAGATCAGGGGTCCCCAGGAAGTGATGGAAGTCTCAGTTAATCACAGGTATAGGAGGAGAGCCCCACAAGCTAAGCCCCACACTTGGGTAGCCATTGCTGTCACTCTGTCACCCGCAGAGCCTCTGAACAAGCTGGACAGGAATGGGTTGGTCTGTTTGGAGACATCCCTTCAAGTCCTGGAGACTCCAGGGCCGAGGCCGAGGTCCCCGTGTGCGGGAGGCAGAGTAAAAAGAGAAAAAGTCAGACTCCAGGGAGGAATTTTCATCTGCTCCTGGAAGCACAAGGATTCAGCACTGTTCAGCAGTCACATTTTTCAAATTCTTGCATTTAGCCTGAGAACTTAATTCATTCTGCAGCAGATAAGTGAGCACGCAGAGTGAATGTCATGGGCTGTGTACCAGGCAGTCAGATAGAAAAGCTCTTTCTCTGGAGTCTCTGAAGGCTCAGTGTGAGGGTTTCTAGAAGGTGGACTGCTGCCGGGTGAAATGCTTTCCTTTGGGGAAGGATCAAAGTCTCACAGCTGTCCCAGGAGCGCTGGGGACTGCTCCCCCCATACCGTCCCCTCTCCCGCCAGACCTGCCCTGGATCACATCCACCTCTGCTTCCTGCTGCTGCCACTTCCTTTATCTGAGATGCTCGTAAAGGGCTCCTCCCGTGTCCCTGCAGGTGCAGGCTGGCTGGCTGGCTCTGGGTTCCGAGGTTCCAAGACTGTCTTTGCCCTCCTTCCCCCAAGTCTCTGAATTCTGGGGAAGATGGCTTTTCAATAAGGTGCTCATTCGCTCACCTTCCCTGTTGTGTGTCCAGCGCATGGCGAAGGCCCGTGGCTCCCATCCTTCTCCCCACACCCCATCCTGCACAGTGTGACCTCTTGCACCTAAAGAAAGGAGTCCCCCCACCCCATCCTGCACACTTCCAGCCTGTCGTTTAGAGGAGCTGCCAGTTGTCTGCTGGTCCCTAACTTCGGGCCGCCTCTGGTTTCAGGAGCCGGGTGGACCTGTCATAAATCACGCTCTGTTCCTTTGCAAGGACTTGGCTGGGCACAGAGGGTGGCTGCCAGGCTAATTAAGGGATATCTTGTTATTTTCAAGAGTGATCTGAAAGGGTGGTCTCCTTATTATTTTAAACTAAGACCTCAGTTCTTAAGTCCCCATACAGCTCACGCAGCCCGAGGAGGGCAAACTGTGTCCGCTTGGCAGTTAGCCGAGAGCAGGAATGAAATCCGAGCTGCTTGCTGTGTCAGCCAGCCACCACCGGGCCTGGGCAAAGGGACTGGCTCGAGTAGGCAGGAGACGTGGGCTCTGTGTGGCCTTGAGATGTCTGTTTCCCCCTCTGGGCCTCAGTTTCCTCCTCTGTGAAATGTGTAGGGCTGGACTAAATGGGTAGTTCCCAAACAACGTCCTGTGGAGCCCTGGCGTTGCAAGGAGGAGTTGCAGTGATGTGAGGGGCGTGCTCCCTGCTGTGTTTCAGGCTGAGCAGTTCTGCCTGTATCTCTCTCGTATCCGGGTCCTTACGGAAGGTGGTGTTAGGGGACGGAGGAGAAGCAGGGTTTCCCTGCTGGGGAAAACATCTGGAAGTGTCTGGAATAGAGTGCTTCCAGCTTTAACATTCTGGGATCCGTCTTTTCTGTTTTGTGAGGATTGTTTTTAAGCCTGGCTTACGGTGGCCATACCTGGGTCCCCTCCCACCTCTGTCCCCCAGAGCTTCCATGGAGGTAGCCGCTGCAGGTGGTCACTTTCTTATCTGGCCCGACCCCGGCTTCCTTCCCTGAGGCCACTCCAAACATCGACCTGTTGTCCGTGATGTTGGCATTGACGCTGTGTCTGCCCCCAAACCCACCCTCGTTTTTTCGGAGTTGCCTGCCGATCACTGGGGCTGGTGTTCCGTGTGATCACTAAGAAGGCAGGCGGTGCACAGGGCCTTGAGTGCAGAGGCAGGGAGCGGGCGTGGCTCTGCCACACGTCAGCTGACCTCTCCTGACCCCAGCTCTCCTGTCCATAACGTGATGGATTTATGAATGGTGATATCTGTCTTGACAATCTCCTAAAACGCTGATGAGACAGCTTATGTGAAGAGGGCTTTGGAATCACATGCGATTTGGAGATAAGCAGAGGGTGAAGAAAGATGGGCCGTGAGGGCGGCAGACGCAGGTCCCTCTGCAGGGGGAGGTGGCCTCTGAGGGTGGCCCCTTGTCTGGACAGCCTTGACAAAGTTCTCTAGCCTTCGGGTAACAAAGCAGTTTTTTTCCCCCTTCTCTTCCTTTTTATTGTGATGTGATTTACATACAATAATATGTAGAGATTTTAAGTGTACACTCTGATCAGATTTGACAAATGTTTATACCTATCGTATTTGTTTTCATTGGCTGCTGTAACGAATTACGAAAATCTTAGTGGCTTGAGACAGCCAGACTTTTTTATCTTACAAGTTCGACATGAGTCTTAACTAGACTAAAATCAAGGTGTCAGCGGGGCTGCATTCCTTTCCGGAGGCTCCGGGGCAGAATCCGTTTCCCGCCTTTCCCACTTTCTAGAGGCCCCTTGGCTATAGCCCCTTCCTCATGTTCAAAGCCAGCAATGCCGAGTGGAGTCCTTCTCACACCATATCACTCTACCCTCCTCTTCCGCTTTTAAGAACGCTTGTGATGACACTAGCCCCTGAATAATCCAGCATAATCTCCCTATTTTAAGGTTAGCAACCTTAATTCCATCTGCAACCTTATTCCCCTTTGCCATGTAAGGTGACATATTCCCAAGTCCCAGGGATTAGGGTCTGGACATCTTTTTAGGGATGGGGACGTATTATTCTCTCTACCACACCTGTGTGAATTCCACCCCAATCAAGACATTTTCTTCACTCCAGAAAGTTCTCTTGGTTCCCTTTTAGTCACTTCCCATTCACCCGCCCCCCGTTTTGCTTCCTCTTACCTGGGACCAATGTTGCCTGCTCTAGACCAGGTTTATTTGGAAGGCGGTGCTCAAACCTGCTGGGTGGCGTGGAGTGAAAAGTTTGGAGAAGTGCAACAGTCTCTCCATGGCTCTTGGCTCTAGGTTTTGGGGGTGGAGGTTGGGGTGTGATTCACTGAAATACGCCCATGGAGGGAGGTAGACCAGTGCCCATGAAGAGCCTGAGGCGGGTCAGGGCCGAGTCTCCACCTGCTCTGGTCTGAGGTCCCACCCGCTTCTGGGGAAACAGTCCTGAGGAGGGCGCCCCCTTCCCGCCCGCAGGTCCTCCGAGCACATTGTGACGGAAGCAGGTGGAATGAACAGGTCTGTGAGCCATGTTCAGGGCCTGGTCTCACCGAGTCCAGATGACACCAGGCACCAGGGAGGGGCAGCGAGGGTCTCCAGGAGCCCCTGGCCCCGGCCTGCTACACGGCCCCTATGCCTTCCCCCGGCACAGCCCCTGATTGGGGACCGGGGGTCCTTAGTTCCTGCACATGCCTCCGTTTTCACTTCTCCTCCCGTACGAGGTACTAGTGCTTCCCCTCTGGAGCCCAGCTGTCTTCCTTCTAGGGCGTCTGCTGAGCTTCTCAGTTGGGGCCCCTGCAGCCCCGCTGTCACCCCTCCTCGCTGCTCTGCCACTTCCCAGGCCCGTGCCTCTCACAGCGTCCTGGGAAGACGCAGTGTGTCACAGTGTGGGCTTCTCGGGCATGCTCCACACCTGATGCACATTATCTGAAAGACCCAAAAGGGTCTCCTGATCTCAAAAAGGAGTAATAGTAACCACTGCTTCATCAGGGGCTGTGTGTGAGGTGAGACGCATGCAGGTTCACCCCAGGTTCCCGGGACCTCGTCAGGTCAGCTGTTGGGACTGTTACTGTGATTATCTCGGGTCTTCATAGCCACCCGTGAAGGGTCCACCCTGTTGCCCATTTTGCAGATGAGAAGATTGGGGTTTCAGAGGCGTCGTCCCTTTCTGAGGTGACCCCAGCTAGTGAGCGGTGGAGCTGAAGACCGGTCTTTCTGACAGTTCTCGCCACTTAGCTGCTTGGGTGATGCCTTTGCTGTGGGGTTTTCACATGATACTAATGTCATGGTGGTGTGAAACCAACACACTTAGTGGGCACTGTGCTAAGCACCTGATGCACCCTGGCAGCCCTTCCACATGGGTTCAGAGAGGTTGAGTAATTTGCCCACGGTCACAGAGCCAGTGGATGAGGGACCCCAGCCTTGAACCCGGGAGGTCCAACTGGAAAGCCTGCCCCACTAACCCCTCCGTGAAGAGATGTTTCCTTGCTTCGAAGCACTGGTGGTATCTCTCCTCTTGCTTCTTACTAAGAGGTGTGATGGAGTTGGCCTCTCATTTCAGCGGGGTGGCCAGGTGCCTCGGAGCCGAGCCCAAGACTCCCGGAATCACCTCTCCCATCCTCCAGCCCCCATCCTTGCTTGATGTCGCTCTTCTGTGCTTACTCGTGTCACCGTACCCCGCTGTCCACTCTATCGTTTTATTGACCACGTTCTGTTTATAAAGCAGCTTCAAATCCTTGAGGGATGGGGACTGTTATAAACAGTGCAAAATAAATATACTGGCCATCGCAGAAACGTATGTAGAAGCCTGTAATCCTCAGCGCCTTGCCTTTCCCTCGTTTTATAAGAGGTGTCCTCGCCCTGACCCTGTCAGGTGACATAGGCTGGGTTAACCAGCTAGACCTGAAGCAGTGCATTTGTAGCAGGTGATGGGTGTGTACTCTTGCGCTCTTCCGATGACACATGGCAGGCTTTGGCTCTTTATTTATTTACTTATTAAAGTGCACTTGTTTTCTTGAATGACCGGAGTGTCCAAGGATGCTTTTTCAGTTGCCTCCATGCCATGAGAAGACTTAAGGGGCAGCAACTGAAGTTCATTGCCCCGAGCAGCCGCCTCCTTGTGCAGTCCCCTCCTGACCCCGTGTGGGTGAGATGCTGTGTGACGCCTCTTGGTGGAAAATGGAATCACTGTATTTGGGTGGCCCTAGGTTGAGGTCTTCGTCCCCCGCACACCTCCTCTTGTTTGTCTGCGGAAGCGCTGGCCCTCAAAGAAGTGAACAATTGGAACTTGGTTTCTCACATTAGAGGATATGAGAAATAAGAATCTACAGTGTGGTGGGAATTTGTTTCTCCCGTGGCCGGATCTGATGGGGGGCGTGTAGCAAGTCAAGAGGAACCGTGAAGTGTCGAGTTGTATTCATTCTTTCATCAAATCATTACAGAGCGCCTTGTATGTGCTGGGCCTCTTCTGGGTGTTCTGACGACAGCTGTGAGCCATGTGGGCGAGGCTCCTGCCCTCTTAGAGCTTACACTCTGCCCAAGACAGACAGTTAAGTAGGTGAACAGTAAATACAGGTGTCGTTTCAGGGGCCAGTTGCTATGAAGAATAAAATAGAGCGTGTGAGGATAAACAGCTGGCGTGGCTGCTGTTAGTAGGATGGTCAGGGGTGGTTCTCTGGAGGAGGTGATGTTAATGCTGTGACTGACAGATGAGGGAACCCAGCCATGGGAAGAGCCAGGAGGAACCGGGCAGTGGCGCTGAGTGTCTGCTGCTGTTTGCCAGCACTCTGTGGACTCAGTGGTTAAAAGGCTACTTTAGTGAAAGTCATTAGCGTGACTATTGAATGACTGTGTCTTTTTCCTACCAAGCCGCCAGTTTCATGGGGCGCAGGCCTCGTTTTGCTGAGCATTGTTTCTCCTATAATGGGCGTAATCCCTGACTCATGGCAGGCGCACAGTAAATAGTGGATGGGCGGATGGACAAACGGAATGCCGGTTGAATGGATGGATGAACTAGAAGCCTAAAAAAAACAGAGGGAAGCAAAGGGCAGTGGAGCACACTGAAGGCTCGAGCTTGGTTCCCAGAGTGGGAGTGTTGGAGGACTCAGTGACACACAGGATGGAGGCAGGCAGTGACTTGTAAACTGGCATTAGGGAGTGGCTGGAAGAGAAAAGACAGAACCAGAGAGCACAGGTAGGAAGGCTGGATCCTGTGCTGTATGTAAGAAACAGCCAGAGGTAAAGAAGAACAGGGAGAGGGAAAAGAAAGGGCACGATCAAGAAGAGCTTGGTGGGCAGATGAGGCAGACATTTGTCAGGGCAGCATATGGGCTAGTGGCTAGAAGAAGGGTCACAGTGACTGAAGTTGCGTGTTGGCAGATGGAAACATGGTGGCTCTTGGGGCGGGGGCAGGCGCTGAATCAAGCACTGGGTGTGGGGGGGTGAGAGATGGAGCAGTTAAGGGGCTTCATGAGGCTGGCAAGATGTTGCTTTTCTCTGGGATTGCAAGCCTAGGGTCACCTTCTGTAGGGAAGTGCCATCTTTCCAAATGGGGGAGGATGTGAAATTGGCAGAAAGCGCCCACTGCGAGAAGCCAATATATTGTTTGGAGCTTTGTTTTATTCCTCTGGAAACTGACCGTATTGTATTTTTATGTAAATAATTCACAACAGCGTGGTATCTGCAAAGGGGTGAAAAGAGAGTGCTCACAAATGAAGTTGAGATACCATATTGTGTTTTTATATCAACAATGTATACTATTGCTTGCAGTGGGTCCAAGAAACAAATGTGTATTCAAGAGGCGAGCTACCTGTTCATTGTTAGCTTTTTCATCTAACCACCCTTTACCTGCCCTTCAAAACCTGATTCGAAAATCACTTTTTTCACGACGATTTTGGGATCACTCCAGCCCGATGTCATCCTTGCCACCTCTGAGCTTCCATAATATAATCATCTGTGTAGCTTCTGGAGCACGTTTTACACACTGAAGCCCTCCTTATGGGCGTGTCATGCTTCTGGTGTGGAGCCCTGTAGGGGCAGGTAGCACATCTTACTCATCCGTATATATTCACAAGGCTCTGCAAAGAGGGGGGCTCACAGAAGTCCTTAAACACATGACTGGCCCTGCAACAATCGCCAAAAATACATTCTGTTTTCATTGTTCGTGGAGTTGATTTATATGTGTGCAGGGGGTTGTGCTTCGTTGGCTGAAATCTGCCCACCACCCCTTAGCATGCTTCCCAAGCCTATATGACTGATTCAGACAAGGACTGGCGGTTTGCTTTAAAGGCTCTGTGTAGAAAACCTCAGGCTGTGGAAGCCAGAGGATGACAGGGCATTGAACGGTGTTTAACCCTGGTCCAAAGTTAGACCGTTTTTGAGGTTTTGTGTCTGGCTCTGATCTCCACGAGGTTTTGGTGTCCTGAGTGGGATTCAGTAACTGGTGTGTCACAGTGTTGAAAAAGCTGTGGGTTTTCCTTGGCAGCACTCCTTTTTCTGCCGGTTGACAGAAGATAAGAAGTCGGAGAAATTCTTCAAGGTCTTCTATGACCGGATGAAGGTGGCCCAGCAAGAAATCAAGGCAACGGTGACCGTGAACACCAGTGACTTGGGAAATAAAAAGAAAGATGATGAGGTAGACAGGGATGCCCCGTCACGGAAAAAAGGTAAATGCTCCCCTGCATGCAGCTCTTCAGTCAGCTGGATTGTAAACATGGGAGGAACCCCTGGTTTTCCTTTAGTTTTTACACGACTTCTAGGCTCCAAACTTTCTGACTGGGGCTTTCAGAAGAAGAAAACCAATCTGGTTGTGATAGAATTCTTCCTGTGTAACCTGAACTGAATTCCTGCTGCTTTGGAGGCTCCTCTTGTTTAATAAACTAACATACATTCTTCTTTGTCAAACTGAGGGTTTTGTTGGCAGGAAATCCATTAATAATCTTTTCCTGTAATTTCCATTTAATGTTAGAGAAAGTTGTGGAATACGCACTTTTAAATTGGCTGTCGTCTTTTGTCAGCTAATCCTCCCTTGTTTTCTGAAATATTTGAAAGTTCATAAAGCTTTTTATCCATTATCCCCTTTGAAGAGGAGTTATACTGGGGAGTGGGTAGACCCAAAAGCGTTGGAGTCAAATGGCCTTGAATAGGTCTGAGTCTCGTTTTTTTAGCAGCGTATGTGGCCTCGACCCAGTAGATACCAGTAGCCCACCCCCAACTTAAAATCTCTCCAGACATTGCCTGTCATCCCCTGGGTGGAGATGGGGTCAAAATCATCCCTAGTTGATCACCGCTGGTCTAGAATGGGGATAAAGAGAAGAAAAAGAAGAAAGGCTAACATTTACTGAGGACTTCCTATGAACCAGGCACTGTCCAAAGTCCTTTACATGTGTGACTTCATTTAGAAGTCAAGTGGACATTGTAAAATCGATAAAATCGTTATCCCCATTTTACAGATGAGGAAACTGAGGCATAGGGATGGTAATTAACTTGTAGGATATGGAGCTAGTAAGGACATGGAGCTAGTAAGTACTAGAGCCAGGATCTGAACCCAGGGAGTCTGGCTACAGCGTCTAATGCT